GAGGAGAAGAAAAGAAAGCAACACATGCTACACAAGGATGAACCTTGAAGCCAGCCATGAAAGGAGAAATAATGTGTGATTCCATTTAGAAAGCAACCTGGAATAGTCTGATTCGTGGAGACAGAAAGTAGAATGGCGGCCGCCAAGTGCTGGGAAAGGATGGAACAGGGAATCCTTGTTTAGATACTGAGTTTCAGTTTAGAATGATGAAAGATCCTGCAAATGGATAGTGGTGGTGGCTGCATAACAATGTAAACGTCCTTAATGTCATTGAACTGTGCACTAATAAATTGTTAAAAAGATAATTTTATATTAAGATACATTATATTTTTATGTGGTTATATATCACCACAATAAAAATATTTTTAAACTACCAGAAAAAGCTAATAGACAAAAGAAAATAATTATAAGTAGTTGAATAACCCAAAAGAAAAAAAGAATGAATAAGGGAATAAAGAATATATAGCACAAATACAAAACAAATAATCTGTAAGTAATTAAAACTTAGAAGAAAAATTGTAGATGTTAAGAGTGTGAAGAGAATATAAACAATTTGAAAAGACTTTTCTTGAAAGTGATTGTTTGGAAATCCAGACATCTCACCATTGCCTTGCAGTTCCTGCTTTCGCTCTGGGATCCAATTTTCCCTAAACTTTGTGAAAACTGTAGATGGAAGAAAAAATGCTCTACCTAAGTCTCTCAAGGGAGCCTGCCCAAGAAGAGACGGAAGCCAGCACACTCATCTCCGAGATCAAACTTTAATTGCACCTCTAGGGAGTCTCAACAATACACCCTTTTTCCTTCACTCACTGGCACACCCTTTCTGAAATCTCCTCATGAGGTTCACACCTAACTGCTTTAAGGTGCTCTACAGGAAAATATAACAATATATAAAACTCTCCTGCTGAACTTTCTTTGCTGGGTAAGACAAGTGAAAAATATCTGATGCCTGGAGGTATTTAAGTCTCTTGTACAGGTGCTCCTTGGCTTACCAAAGGTTTAAGTACTGATAAACTCATTGTACATTGGAAATATTATAAGTCAAAAGTGCATTTAATTCACCTAACTTATTAAACATCATAGCTTAGCAAACAGCATACTGTGGAATATCAGTTGTTTGCCTTCGTTATCATATGGCTGACTAGGAGCTATGCTCACTGCCACTGTCCAAGTTAGCACAGCCTGGCAAAAGATGAAAATTTAAAGTGCAATTTCTATGTAATGTTTATCACTTTTCCTTCCTTAAAAAGTGGAACAAAGTAAGTGGAAGATTGTAAGTCAAGGACTATCGGAACAGTGCCTGATGAAAATACCAATCTGTAGTTGAGGGCCACACCTTACATGCTGTTGCAGGACTTGTGCTCCTTTCACTGGCTATCACTACTGCCCAATAGAAGGCCCAGTTGTTCTGTTATATTCGAGGAACTCGGAAAGGGAGCTTCAACATTTAACTTTCTATACCCTAGGATTCACAGGTCAGGCCCTATGTTCAAATTCATATATAGGAAAGAGAGGCATCCTTAAGAAGATACAGACGAAGTGTTTATTCTCCGACCTGTCACACTGAGTCCTATCATGAAGGGTAAGTAACTTCTCACTGTCCAGACATCACGGAATTATTTTTACTAAAATATCTACCCGTTGATGCTAGCTTTAGTTGGGGTCCCTTTATATTATTATCATACTTTTCCAAACTTTTTCTGGATTTTTGGCTGTGTGATTTTATCCACAGCATCTTCAGTATCGTAATAGTGAAGTTGTGCATCCAGCTACACAGATCTCCCTTAGCTTAATACTCCTAAAGTTTCTTGCCTAATGATTCACAAGTGAATGCCTTATTATTCAGAAATTTGATAAATTGCCTAGGTTGGTATTAAAGACTATTTGCTAATGTATTTAACTCACTGTCTACAATACTCTAATTAAATATGACTTATTCCCAGTACTATGATGCACACCCCAGGTAATGTAATAACTTTCATCCTATTATTTGTTTCTACATTTTGCATTGTCAACATTATTATGTTTTCATTTCCTCTTCCTTTATATCAAATCAAACTGTATGATTCTACATGTGTTAGAATATATGAGAAGGTCCATAAAATAAATCTGAACCACCAAAAATGTTACCCATAACTTTGGAGTATGAAATTTTTGAACTGAGTGACTTTTAATCTAGTCTTTTTTGTTCACTTAAATTCATTGTTTTTATGGCAGGGGATGGAGCTGAATGCCACAGCGCCTGCCTGCCAAGTACAAGGCCTTGAGTTTGAGTCCCCAGACCAAAAAAACCAAAGTTCATTGCTTTTATCTAGGCTTTTAAATGATTATGCTAAAAATTTTTATCCTAAGTACTTTGTTTTTAGTTATTGGTAGTATTATCATGAAAAAAATGCAATATTTTTCAAGTCCTAGCATATTCCAGGAACTTTACCAGGCACTGTACTGTATATTAGACAGCTGTATTTCAACACTATTTTCACAAGATCTCTGCAAAGTAAATCCTAACTTTCCCAAAGAGCAAGCAGCATCTACTATAGAACTTGAACCCAAATCAATGTAACTTTATCATTTATTTTTCTTTAAGTGTGACATGTAATACAATTATTAAGTGTTACTAAGTTGAGTCAATCACTTGTGAACAGAAACCAGCTGTGGTCTGTCATCACATACTACAAAGTGAATGTTCTCGTCCTTCCTCACCAAATTGAGCCAGTTCCTCATAAAACTGTGTTCTCAGACCTTCTTTAGGAGAGGTCTTTTCTTTCTAGTTTGTATGTGTAGCTGTTCTACACTACTACTGAACTCTCTAGCATTTACACTACAATCTTCAGCACTTACAATGATCCCCTCTGTGCTCAGGACAGATTTGAAAACTTCAGATGAAAAAATCAACAGGATTTGGTGGTTGATTATATATACGAGCTGACAGAATTAGAAAGGGCTTGAATGGCCTTCCAGTTTTTGGCTTTAGCAAATGCTACATGGATTGGTGGAGAAAAGTAAAGCCATTCCCCAAGAAGCAAGTACAAAGGAGGAGTCTTTACAAAGAAACAGATAGAATAAGAGGTTGTGAGCAAAATGATAATAGGTCTGAAACTATAAATAGGGTAAATGACTAGAGGTTACATTTCACATAGATCCTCAGGGATGATAGGAATCCCACAGCATGTGGGATTGCTCAGTCATGAGGCTTAAAGGTGCTCTTGCTAAATGTGGCCACATTTGGACACTGTGTCAGAGTCGGTCACAAGATTACCTGAGGAGGTACAGATTAGGGATTGAGTGATAGTGATATTCATAAACTTGTAGATTAGCTTTTGGAAATTTACTCAACCATTGATTCTTTCAAGGGCCTACTGCAACTAGAAATTCAGTAATCTGAGAATGTAGAAGTAAATGTAATGTCATTTGTAAATTTTAGAAGTTTTCAGCCTAGAGAGAAACATACAAACCCATGCTTTAAGTCATTATGGCATATTTGTTAGTTGAGATATGTATAATATGCTATAAAAATATTTACTGGAACTTATAAATAGCATGGTTTTGCCTTGTTGATTTCAGTATGACAGATATCAAAAAGATACCTAAAATTATCATCATAAAAAACTAGGATATCCTACATTGACTGGTGTAATTATCAATTTCCTTAAATCATTGTAAGTTCATTTTGGAGTCAAATGTTCTGAGATAAATGTTGAAAAACATTAATTGTGGTGGCAATTATAAAACAAAACAATAGATAATATTTGAATCCAACTCTGGGGGTTGACTAAATCTGTAGACTAGAAGGCAATAGAGCCATGGAATTGATGATTTACAGCTATATTTTTGACAAGGAAAAAAACTAAAATACAATAAGCTTAAAAATAAATTAGAGTATTTTTGGAAAAAGCGTTTAAAGTTTTTTTGGCTTTGAAATCTGGAACTATTTTTATTTTATTTATTTATTATGTTTTTAATTATAAAAACATTTTTGTTAAGTAATTATACATCACCCAAATTTAAAATATCATTTATATTCAGCAAGAATTGAACTTCCATAACAGTGAGAGCCATGTTATATGTGTTTGTTGGACTTGTGGTAACTGACCTTCCCAAACAAGTTTTAAAATTCTAAGTTCCTCACAGGTAGACAGTTGGGACTGAAGTTGGACATGTCAAAACCTGTCACCTGCAATATATAGAAAGAACAAGAATGCATCCTTGCAGTAGAACAATATATTATAAAACAAGTTGTTTATTTCAGTGAGATATTTATGAAAAAATGATTTAAAATACAGTATTTGTTTTAATGTAGTGGAGATTTAGTTAAGTTATAGGAGTTTGAAGTAAAAGTACTAAGTAGATTCAAGGAATACTATGAGGTAACTATTAACTCTGTACTCTCCAGAAGAGTATTACTATACCTTCCCTCTTGGTTTCTATGTTGATACTTACAAATCATGAAAATGTAATAAAAGAAAGTTATTCCAATGTGAACAACTCAGAACACATAATACACTTTCAATAGGGTATCTGAAAAGTATGTCAAGTGCTTTCTCCATGAGATGTCAAAAAAGTAATTATTTCATTCCTAATTCTTGCTTTAAAAACAACTCATACTAAAAGCAGTCTATTAGAAATAAAGTGGGATAAAACAGAAAAAAAGAAAGCAAATGGAGTAGGGGAGAAATACAAACTGGTAAGTATTTTGCTCCTTTTCGTTTGTTTCTGAGTTTTTTAAATCCTCAAAGTAAAGAGAGACTTCTTTTAAATCTTATACAATGGTTAAAAAAACTAATGTAAAAACTCTAATGTTATGAACCTAACTTTATTGAAATTTGGAATCATTAAGATTGTTGATCGTTGCTTTTAACAAGAGCCACAAATCAATGGATGGATTATTCCAAACTAATTCCCAAATAGCCAACATGATGTATGTCAGTATTAAGTTTCCTCCAAGTTTTTCAAGAAACAAAACAAGACATTGGTGTTTTTTTGTCTTCTCTACAGCTCTGGGATTTATGAACAATTCAAAAACAAGCACTGTGACCGAATTTGTCCTCCTTGGTTTCCCTGGTTGTCAGGAGATGCAAAGTTTCCTCTTCTCGGTTTTCTTTGGGGTCTATGTATTTGCTACAATGGGAAATGGTACAATTGTCTGTGCAGTGAGCTTGGACAAACGTCTCCATATGCCAATGTATATTCTCCTGGGAAACTTTGCTTTCCTTGAAATCTGGTACATCACCTCCACTGTACCGAGTATGCTAGGCAATTTCCTCTCAAAGACAAAGACTGTCTCTTTTGTTGACTGTTTGACCCAATTCTACTTTTTTACTTCCCTGGGTACAACTGAAACGTATTTCCTTTGCATCATGGCATATGATCGGTACCTTGCCATTTGCCGCCCACTGCACTACTCCACTGTCATGACTACACGACTTTGCTATATCTTGATATCTCTTTGCTGGTTGTTTGGGTTCATTAGTTACTCTGTGTCTGCTGTACAATTATCTCAATTGCCTTTCTGTGGGCCCAACATCATCAACCACTTTGTGTGTGACATGGACCAACTGATGGCTCTGTCCTGTGCCCCAGCTCCCTTCACTGAGATCACCTTCTACAGCCTGAGCACCTTCATTATTGTCCTCACTCTTCTATACATCCTGGGCTCTTATATACTTTTACTGAGAGCTGTGCTAAAAGTTCCCTCAGCAACAGGCCGACGGAAAGCCTTTTCTACCTGTGGGTCACATCTGACAGTGGTGTGTTTATTCTTTGGAGCCCTCTTGGCAATGTATGTGAGCCCCACAGCTGAAAACCCAGCTGCAATGCAGAAGATTATGACTTTGTTTTATTCTGTGGTGACTCCTTTCTTAAACCCTTTGATTTACAGCTTACGAAACAAAGAGATGAAGGCTGCACTGAAGAAAGTCTTGAGAATAGAATAAGCATAAAGCAACCCATATGAGACTAAGCAAACCACTGTCCAGATAAAAAGATCCATTGAGAAGGGCTTGCTTTCTGTTTGCTATTTCTGAAATACTCTAATGAAGATATCCTCTCAGGGGAGTCCCTCATCATTTTACTCCACAACGAATCTGGAGCTAAACCAGAGTTGAATTATATTACATTACAAATGTAACAACCATATTTTCAACATGGGTAACTCCAGTAGATTATATATGATTATATATGGGGCTTTTATCCATTCTACTTCATATTGTTTTAGTTTTGATTCTTGGGGGATAGAGGTGGAAGGTGGATGCACAGTACTTGGAGCTGAATCCTTTGTATACATGGGAATTTCTTACGATAGTCCAAATATTAAATTAATTGAACCTAATTTAAATACCTAATTGGTACAAAAGTTCAAAAGTGCATGGGGGCCAAATTGCATAGGACTTTTAAACCACTGTAGGGGCTTTTTAAAATTCCACATTATAATTATGGTGGTATGGATTTATGGAGGTAAAAAGTGATGTCATGATGCATGAATACAATGTAGAATAATTAAACCAAGCTAAACTATTTATCTCTTTCTGGTTAGAACACTTAGAATTTATTCTCAGCAATTCTGAAATGTACAGCACATGATGTTCTTTAATATATTCACTACACTGCACTGAGAAAAGAAAACCTAACACCTCCTATCTAAGGGAGGCTTTGCACTCTGGCCATCTTCCCCCCATTCCCTTTACTCTCAGCCTCCAGTAACCACTATTCTCTGCCTTTCTGAGTTCAATTATTTTACATCTCATATATGAGTAAGAACATGCATTGTTTGTTCTGTGCCTGGCTTATTACACCTAGCAAAACGGTCTCCAATTCCATCCGTGCTATCACAAATAACACATACCACGTTTTTATCTGTTCATCTGTTATGCACTCCCAAGTTGTTCCATAACTTGCCTATTATGAATTATGGTGCACTGAACATGGTAGTGAACATCTTTTCAACATACCGATTTTGAGTAAATACTCAGAAACCTTTTGAGTAAATACTCAGAAAACAGATTGTAGGATCAATGTTAATTCTATTTTTAGAATTTTGAGGTACTCCTGCACAGTTTTCTACAATGTTTCTAATTTACAAGCCAGTACAATATGCAAGGAAGGGTTTCTTTTTCTCAACGCTTTTACCAACTTTTGTTATCTATTTGACTTTTTGATAACAAACATCCTTACAAGTAGAAGATGGATCCCATTGTGGTTCTAATGTGCATTTCTCTAATAATTATTGAAGTTGAGCATTTTTTGTATCTATTAGCCATATATTTTGTTTCTAAAATATCTCCTGGCTGGGGATTTAGCTCAGTGCTTTCACCACCTGCCTCATAAGCACAAGGTCTTGAGTTCAATCCCTGGTACAGAAAAACAAATATATATATATATATATATATATCCGTGTGTATATATATATATATATATATCTGTATATATATATATATCCATATATATATATACACACGGATATATATATCCTAAAATCTCTTTGCCCATTTTTAAATTGGATTATTGAGTTATTTGAGTTTCTTATATATTTTGTATATTAACTCTTAGTGCAAGGGTGATTATTATCATATTCTGTAGACACCCTAATGTGCAATAGAAAACCAGAGCTTTTTCCTCCTAACTGCACTTAATACCCATTAATCAATGGTTTTCCATCCCTTCTTCCCTCTTAATCTCCCATTGCTGGTAATTACCATTCCGCTCTCAACTTCAATGAGATCAACTTTTTTAGATTCCACATATGAGTGAGATTATGCAGGACTTACCTTCTGTTCCTGGCTTCTTAAACTGAGCATAATGATCTATTGTCATCCATCCATGTTGCCTTGAATGACAAGACTTCATCTTTTTAAATTCCTGGATGGTTTTCCATCATGTATGTATACTACAAATTCTTTATCCATTCATCAGTTGATGGACATTTGGATTGTTTCCATTTCTTGGCTATTGTGAATAGTGCTTCAGTGAACACGGTAGTGCAGATGTGTTTTCAAAATACAGTACTAATTTCATTTCTTTTGGGTATAGACCCACTAGTGGGATTGCTAGATCATATAGTATTTCTATTTTTAATTTTTTGAGAAACCTCTATATTGTTTTTCATGGTAGCTATACTCACTTATATTCCCATCAAGAGTGTATAGAGTTGTTCCTATCCATAAACATGGGATATCTCTCCATTTTCATGTCCTCTTTAATAACATTCAATCATATTTTACAACTGTCATTGTAGAAATCTTTCAATTCTTTGGTTAAATTTATTCGTAGGTATTTTTATAGCTATTGTAAATGGAAATGCTTTCTTTGTTTCTATTTCAGATAATTCACTATTGGCATATAGCAATGCTACTAATTGTTGTATATGGATTTTATATTCTGTCAAGTTTTCTTAATTAATTCATTAGCTCTAATAATCATTAGATTATTAGCTCTAATAATGGTTTTGGAGGTTTAGGAGGGTTTGTTGTTGTTGTTTTGCTTTGTTTTGTTGTTGGTTGAATTTGGTTTTTTGAGACAGGGTCTTGCTATGTAGTTCAGGTTGGCCTTGAACACACTGTGTAGCCCAGGCTGGCCTCAAACTCATGGCAATCCTCAGCTTCTCGAGTGCTGGGATTACGGGAATGTTCCACCATGCCCAGCCTCTTCAATAGATTTTAATGGAGTCTTTGAGTTTGTCTAAATATAAGATCACATTATCTGTAAATAGTGACAATTTGAATTCCTCTTTTCCAATTTAGATGTCCTTGTCTTTCTCTTGCCTTACTGCTCTGCCTAGATCTTTCAACCCTGTGCTGAATAAAGGTGGTGAGCAGTAAGGAAGCTAGAGTAGGAGAATAACATACTCCACTCCACCTCAGCCATGTAACAAATTTGAGGCCAGCCTGGGATAAACATTGAGAATCTATCTCAAAAAAAAAAAAAAGAACAAAAGATATCAAATAATGAAAGGAGGCCTTCTTGTCATGTTCCAGATATTGGAAAGAAAACTCTCATCTTTCCCCAATTCAGTATAATTTCAGCTGTTGACTTTTTGCATATGGGCCTCACTATGTGGAAGTACTTTTTCATATTTTTATATTTGAACCTAAAACAAGCTTGTAATCTCTGTGGAGCTTGACCTAGTTTTCTCCTATAACCTGTGTGTACTGTATTCAGAGTTTAACACAGTCTGACACCGAGTAGGTATATAATAAATGCTTGTCAATTACATACATTTTTTTGGTACTGGGGATTGAACTCGGGACCTTGTGCTTGTGAGGCAGGTGGCAGAACAACTGAACTAAATCCCTGGCCCAATTAAATATATTTTTAACAGAATGGAACAAGTGTATTATTTAAAGAGATCACACATGTGCGCAGCATACACACATGCATGCACATACACACATGCAGATACACATATATTCTTTCTCCTCTGAATCCATTTACCTCCCCCTGGGTAGGTCAGTTCCTTAGAGTGAGAATATTTCCACCAAAAGGAAAGTTTTCCTGACCTCTCTTAGGTATGTATCCTGGCCCTTACATCAGGATTCATCAAACCACTGGGGAAAACATAAACAGATACAGGTAGGATTAAATACATGCAGAGGTACAAGCACAGGAAAGGAAGTAGGTTCCTTCAAACAAACACATTGGGGAATTATGGATCCTATTCAGGAGAGATTTGTAAACTCTTAATAGTCACTCACTTGAAAAACACATTTCATTTGGTTCGGAGCAACACAGGACGCAAGTCTCTGAAGGCACAAACAACACTCTCCATCCCTGACTCAGCTCTCGGACTGTGTAAATGAGGAGCTTCTTGTGGCTGGAGTTTCACTCACATCTGCATCTTGGAGCCAAAAACAACTTCGGATAGGTAGGAAAGCCTACAACCAAAGAACACTGCTGCTCTGCACCTTGCTGTAAGACAACTGAGAATAGGTGATTCCCCTGTAAATCCCTTAATTCTTTTTTCCTATGCTCTTTGTAGGAGCAACATGTTAGACTCTTCACTGCTTATCTCTCAACACACTTTTAAAGAGAACCTTAGATGATACAGTGTATTCACATCAAGGGCTCACTCAAGTATCACAGAGTTCCCACATTACAGCTCAGAGTAAATGGCACTCATATGGCTCGGGAATTGGGGTGGGGGATTAAACTTCCATCAGAATATAGTCTAAGTCTTGTACCACTTTGCAAAATTGCTTAGTGAAATTTTGGTTGACAGATTACTTCTCAGCAGGAGCAATTAAAGCAAGACGTTATTTTTTCAGAGTCTTTGGCGAGAGACAAAGCACTAGTGCAAACTGAGAAAAAGCAAGATAGTGGTCTTTGTTTTCCTTTGGATTTACCTACACCTCAAAAATGTAAAGTCTAAAGACTCTCTGCATTTACAACTTAAAAAGAGCTCTTCTCTGGGAAGTGGCTTCAATTCCCACAAGGGGTTAAAGAGGAGGGTCTGGCCCCCTTATCAGCTATACAAAATGGGTTTCCCAGGTTCTTTGTCCTCTTCTTCTCTCCAGCTGGACATTTATATGTCCATCTCTTGAGGTGAACAGAGGAGGCGAATTTAAATTTGTCAGTTGAGACAACAATAGATGTGTTTTGGAGGTGGAGAAAATAGGAAGAATGTAGTGGGATTTCAAATTATCTGTGACGTTTACTTATCTTTTGCTGACCCTATATTCCATAGATAAGTGAAATTTCACTAGCACAAATAATGTCAACAAGATCTTGGATATTACGGAGTCAAATAATTACCAACATTGGAACCAAGCCTTAAGAGGTCAGGTTCCAGGTCACAGACCATGACTTATATTTGTCATCTTGATTCCAAAATCTTCTTGAAATGTGAGTAGGGTAAATTAACTCATGTCTCCTATCTGCCTGTTATCTTGAGAAGCCCAAAATATCTATTTTATGCCAAATAAAATATAACATGCCACCTGCACTACATAGATTTATTTATGTTAGTTCTAACTTAGAATAATTTTTTGGTCCATAACATAGAGATATGCATACTGCAAAACATATGACCTATGCAAGCCCCTGTGCTGCTGTAGTGGCATACTGGGTCATTTCAATGTAGCAAGAGTTGAAAAGGAGAGGAAACTTACTTTTCATTTTTACTAATGTGCTCCAGAATTTAGTTCACTGCTAGGAATATAACACACAGTGAATAAACATTTGTTAAATGCCTAAATAATGTGTTACAATTGAAATATGACATTTATTATTTTTATTGCAAGCCCATTAACTTCAGTTTTAAATGAAGAATGATTGCACATGATCTAACAAATCTAAGTATAGTTAAATTTTGGTACATATGGTCATCATAATTGTTTTATTATTCTAAAAATATTGTTAATACAAATATCCAAAGCTATCTTGTCAATAAAGCATCTATCATTCTGAGTTTGCTCCAGGTTTGATAAAGTACTAAGCAGACATCTTGCCCTCTGCAAAGTGTATGAATGACATGAAGATGGAATTTTGTAAGTATATTAACAGAGACATGAATAAATACTATGGCCAACATATTGCTAAATTTAAAATATTGATGGTGAGCAGGGTATTGTGGTGCATGCTTGTAATCCTAGAACTCGCAAAGCTGAGGCAGGAGGATCATTACAAGGCTGAGGCCAGCCTGATCTATATAGCAACACATTGTCTCAAAACACCAAAAAACCTAAAATATTGAAGAGGTCTTACCAGGTAAATATCCTGAACTTATCAAGGAAACTTTAGGACATGGAAATAAGACTGGGCCAATAGCTTCAAGAAGGTCATTAGCAAAACATTCAAGTTTTTAGTCTGGTCTCAACTCCTGAGTCAGCAAACATCAAAAAAAAAAAAATCTTTCTGATCTCTGTACATCCTAGAGTGATCCTTTTATTCTTTATTTAATTTAAATGAAAGCGAGATGATGAAGAGAAATTATGGACTTATTGCTAGCAAAAATGACACATATGGGGGATTTAGCTCAGTGGTTCCACCACCTGCCTCGCAAGCACAAGGTCCAGAGTTCGATCCCCGGTACCAAAAAAAAAAAAAAAAATGACACACATGGGTTTATACACTAGAGAAATTGACTTAGTCAGCAACAAGTTGCCTCAAGAACCAAGCCATAACGCACATGAGTAAATACCAAATAGTTTCTCTAGTGTGCGAAAGTGAAAGTGTAAATAAAGACTAAAAGGTACAACAGATAATGTGAAATAGGAAGGGGCGAAAGAGAAGGGGAAGTGGGAGGGGTAGGGGAAAGGAAAGAAGGGAATGGAATTAATACGAGAAAATGCAAAAATGGAAACAAAGTCTTTGTAAATAGGGAGGGATGGAGGTGTTGAAGGGAGGGCAGGAAGGGGGAAAAAAATAAGAACCAAGAGAGATTATGTAAAGGTGCAAATTTCCAATGATGAATGTCATTATATTGTATACCTAAAATGTACCAATACAATTGAAAAAAAAAACCAAGCCATAGCGTGGAGTAGTGCAGCTTGGGGCACTGGAAGAAGATGGAACAACCCATAGAAAATTGTGACCCCCAAAAGAAATCATATAGGGGGCATGACATCTACCTTGTTATTTAAGACCTACCACCACCATCATGGAAGAGGAATTAGACTTATTTTTGTAGTTTTAATAAGATTGAAATTTACCTAGGGACCTGAAAGTGCCAGGATCAAGCTGTAGAGGGAATAAAAAAGAAAAAAACTTTCTCAAAATAAAAAAAATCCTTTAATGGAAACAGAGCTCCTTAGGAGAAGAATGGGCTGATTGTTGAGCAAATCCAGATGCTACCTGGGAAAGTATGATCAAAAGACAATTAGATAGGTAATCTGCAAGCAATTTAGAAGTTCCTAGGTGTTCTATATGACCTCCCTAAGACTAGCAAAAACAAGAGCAGTTAAGACTTCAACCTCACAAATCCATTCTTATCTACTTTTTATTGGACAGATATAGATAGATGAGAGATATAGATAGATGACAGATATAGAGTTTTTATCGGATAGATACAGATGTAGATATGGATATTAAACCCTGAATAAGAAAGTAACTTAGCAGCTACTTTTCTTTCATTTATACTCAAAGTTTGTTTTAAAGTGAAAAGATGGGTCCAAAGTTTAAATTTGTATATAGAATGTTCAACGGACAATGACTTTACCATTAAAGATGAAACATTACTCTGCTCAGAATTAAAGTAACATCTCAAGTTAAATAGAATTTGTTCCCAAAAGAACCCTGAGTAGGCCAGAGTATCTAGTAGTTAATGGCTTTGCACATACATTTAAGTGAACCCTTTAAATCTTTCTTCTCATCTGTAAAAGAAAAACATCAGTTTTCTTATCTGCAAAAGAAAAAGGGCACCTCCCTCCTGCTAAAGGGTCATTAGGAGAATGAAATAAGATGATGTAAAAATACATAGAATATTTTCCAGCATGTGTTAGCAAAACTCACAAATGTTCATTATTGTTCTTTTCTTGATATTTTTTTTTCTAACAGCTTTGGGGTCCCAGAACAAAACAATGCATTTTGTGACTGAGTTTATCCTCCTGGGTTTCCATGGTCAAGAAAAGATTCAGAGTTTGTTCTTCTCACTAATTCTGGTTCTGTATCTCCTGACCCTGCTGGGGAATGGAGCTATCATCTGCGCAGTGATATGGGACAGGAGGCTCCATACACCCGTGTACATCCTCTTGGGAAACTTTGCATTTTTAGAGATCTGGTATGTTTCCTCCACTGTCCCAAACATGCTGGTCAATATCATCTCTGAGGCTAAGACCATCTCCTTCTCTGGCTGCTTCCTCCAATTCTATTTCTTTTTTTCACTGGGTACAACAGAGTGTTTCTTCTTATCAGTTATGGCATATGATCGGTACCTGGCCATCTGCCGCCCACTACGCTACCCCTCCATCATGACTGGGAAGTTCTGTGTGAGCCTCATCTGTGTATGCTGGGTGAGTGGATTCCTCTGCTATCCAGTTCCCATTGCCCTCATCTCCCAACTTCCTTTCTGTGGACCAAATATCATTGACCACATTGTGTGTGATCCAGGCCCATTGTTTGCACTGTCCTGTGTCCCTGCTCCTTCCAAGGAGCTTATTTGTTACACCTTCAACTCAATGATCATCTTTGGGCCCTTCCTCTCCATCTTGGGATCCTACACTTTAGTACTCAGAGCTGTGCTTCGTGTTCCCTCTGGTGCTGGCCAAATGAAAGCTTTCTCCACCTGTGGATCCCACATAATGGTGGTGTCCCTATTCTATGGAACCCTTATGGTTATGTATGTGAGCCCATCCTCAGGGAACCCAGCAGGAATGCAAAAGATCGTCACTTTGGTGTACTCAGCAGGGACTCCACTCTTAAATCCCTTTATCTATAGTCTCCGGAACAAAGACATGAAAGATGCCCTAAAGAAAGTTCTGGGATTAACAACTGCATAAAACTGAGACAGTTCTGAAAGATAAACTGAATGACTTCCTTCTTTTTTATTTGTGTTTTTTAACAGAACAAGTAGTAGTTTTTACTGTAGAGATTAATAGCACTTAAAATAAAACTGCCATATATGTATAATCATGAATTGGTTATGTCCATCAACCTTGATCATGTCCTTCTACCTTCACCTCAATGTGGTACCCACACTTCCTAGCCCCTTGTAAACCCACATCCACCTTCAGGTCAACTTTTGTATTTATTTTTCTTTATTACTTTCACACAGGAGAAAGAACATGCCATACTTGGGTTTCTGTATCTGGCTTAGCTCACATAACATAATGTCCTTCAGTCCCATCCATTTTGCTGAAAATGACATGATTTCATTCTTCTTTATGTCTGAATAATACTCCATTGTGTATATATACATTTCTTTATCCATTCATCTGTTGATGGGCATCTAGGCTGATCCTGAATCTTGGTTATTGTGAATAGTGCCTCAATAAACATGGGTACACAAGGGTCTCTTTGGAATGCTGACTTCATTTTCTTTAGATATATACCCAGGAATGGGATAACTGGATCATATGGGAGATATGTTTTTAGCTTTTTGAGGACTCTCCATACTGTTTTCCACACAATTACACTATTTTACATACTAAACAGGTCGACTGAGTGTCACGTCGTGGGAGCAGTGCTTTGGTCCTCTGCTCCCGTGACATTTCCTTCAATTTGGGGACTCCCTCAGGTACCTCAGGCACCGCTGCAGCCACTGCAGCACCTGCGGGTAGGTTTGGAGGATTTGGGACAACATCTACAACTGCAAGTTCTGCATTCAGCTTTTCTGCCCCCACTAACACAGGCACTACTGCATTAGGTGGCCTCTTCAGTCACCCTACACAAGCTCCTACCCAGTCCAACGAGCTGATAAATACTGCGAGTGCTCTTTCTGCTCCAACACTATTGGGAGATGAGAGAGATGCTATTTCAGCAAAATGGAATCAGCTGAAGGCTTTCTGGGGAACAGGAAAAGAATATTTCAACAATAATATTCCACCAGTGGAATTCACACAAGAAAATCCCTTCTGCCGGTTTAAGGCTGTAGGTTATAGTTGTATGCCCAATAATAAAGATGAAGATGAGCTAGTGGTTTTAGTTTTCAACAAAAAAGAAACAGATATTCAAAGCCAGCAACAGCAGTTGGTAGAATCGTTGCATAAAATTTTGGGAGGAAATCAGACCCTTGCTGTAAATGTAAAGGGTATTAAAACATTGCCAGATGATCAGACAGAAGTTGTTATTTCTGTTGTTGAGCATTCTCCAAATGGTACCTCAAGAAGAGTTCCAGCTACAACACCATATGCCCATTTTGAACAAGCCAATATAGAAACACAACTACAGCAACTTGGTGTAACCCTTTCTGTGACTAGAACAGAACTTTCTCCTGCGTAGATCAAGCAGCTTTTACAGAATCCTCCTGCCGGTGTTGATCCTATTATTTGGGAACAAGCCAAGGTGGATAACCCTGATTCTGAAAAGTTAATTCCTGTACCCATGGTGGGCTTTAAAGAACTTCTCCGAAGACTGAAAGTTCAAGATCATATGACTAAGCAGCATCAGACCAGATTAGATATCATATCTGAAGATATTAGTGAGCTACAAAAGAATCAAACTACAAGTATGGCCAAAATTGCACAATACAAGAGGAAACTCATGGATCTTTCCCATAGAACCTTACAGGTCCTAATCAAACAGGAAATTCAAAGGAAGAGTGGTTATGCCATCCAAGCTGATGAAGAGCAGTTGCGAGTTCAGCT